ACCATTGAGAATAATGTCTGCTGTGGGTTTGTTGTATACGGCCTTTATTATGTTGAGGTAGGGTCCCTCTATGCCCACTTTCTGGAGACTTTTTATCATAAATGGGTGTTGAATTTTGTCAAAAGCTTTTTCTGCATCTGTTGAGATGATCATATGGTTTTTCTCCTTCAATTTGTTAATATGGTGTATCACACTGATTTATTTCTGTATATTGAAGAATCCTTGCAACCCTGAGATAAATCCCACCTAATCATGATGTATAATCCTTTTAATGTGCTATTGGATTCTGCTTGCTAGTATTTTGTTGAGGATTTTTTTTTTTTTTGGCGATATGTGGGCCTCTCACTGTCGCGGCCCCTCCCGTTGCCGGACGCGCAAGCTCAGCGGCCATGGCCCACGGGCCCAGCCGCTCCGCGGCATGTGGGATCCTCCCGGACCGGGGCACGAACCCGTATCCCCTGCATCGGCAGGCGGACTCCCAACCACTGCGCCACCAGGGAGGCCCTTGTTGAGGATTTTTGCATCTATATTCATCAGTGATATTGGTCTGTAATTTTCTTTTTTTGTAGTATCTTTGTCTGCTTTTGGTATCAGGGTGATGGTGGCCTCATGGAATGAGTTTGGGAGTGTTCCTTCCTCTGCAATTTTTTGGAAGAGTTTGAGAAGGATGGGTGTTAGCTCTTCTCTAAATGTTTGACAGAATTCACCTGTGAAACCATCTGGTCCTGGACTTCTGTTTCTTGGTAGATTTTTAATCACAGTTTCAATTTCATTATTTGTGACTGGTCTGTTCATATTTTCTATTTCTTCCTGGTTCAGTCTTGGAAGGTTATACCTTTCTAAGAATTTGTCCATTTCTTCCAGGTTGTCCATTTTATTGGCATAGTGTTGCTTGTAGTAGTCTCTCAAGATGGTTTGTATTTCTGCGGTGTCTGTTGTAACTTCTCCTTTTTCACTTCTAATTTTATTGATTTGAGTCCTCCCTCTTTTTTTTGATGAGTCCGGCTAATGGTTTATCAATTTTGCTTATCTTCTCAAAGAAGCAGATTTTAGTTTTACTGATCTTTGCTATTGTTTTATTTGTTTCTGTTTCATTTATTTCTGCTCTGATCTTTATGATTTCTTTCCTTCTGCTAACTTTGGGTTTTGTTTCTTCTTTCTCTAGTTTATTTGAGATTTTTCTTGTTTCTTGAGGTAGGCTTGTATTGCTATAAACTTCCCTCTTAGAACAGCTTTTGCTGCATCCCATAGGTTTTGGATCATTGTGTTTTTGTTGTAATTTGTCTCTAGGTATTTTTTGATTTCCTCTTTGATTTCTTCAGTGATCTCTTGCTTATTTAGTAACATATTGTTTAGCCTGCACGTGTTTGTTTTTTACATTTTTTTCCCCCTGTAATTGATTTCTAATCTCATAATGTTGTGGTCGGAAAAGATGCTTGATATGACTTCAATTTCCTTAAATTCACGGAGGCTTGATTTGTGACCCAAGCTGTGATCTAACCTGGAGAATGTTCCGCGTGCACTTGAGAAGAAAGTGTAATCTGCTGTTTTTGGATGGAATGTCCTATAAATATCAATTAAATCTATCTGGTCTATTGTGTCATTTAAAGCCTGTGTTGCCTTATTAATTTTCTGTTTGGATGATCTGTCCATTGGTGTAAGGGAGGTGTTAAAGTCCCCACTATTATTGTGTTACTGTCAATTTCATCTTTTATAGCTGTTAGCAGTTGCCTTATGGATTGAGGTGCTCCTATGTCGGGTGCATATATAATTGTTATATCTTCTTTTTGGATTGATCCTTTGATCATTAGGTAGTGTCCTTCCTTGTCTGTTGTAACATTCTTTATTTTAAGATCTATTTTATCTGATATGAGTATTGCTACTCCAGCTTTCTTTTCATTTCCATTTGCATGGAGTATCTTTTTCCATCCCCTCACTTTCAGTCTGTATGTGTCCCTAGGTCTGAAGTGGGTCTCTTGCAGATATCATATATATGGGTCTTGTTTTTGAATCCATTCAGTGAGCCTGTGTCTTTTGGTTGGAGCATTTAATCCATTCACGTTTAAGGTAATTATCAATATGTATGTTCCTATTACCATTTTCTTAATTGTTATGGGTTTGGTTTTGTAGGTCCTTTTCTTCTCTTGTGTTTCCCACTTAGAGAAGTTCCTTTAGCATTTGTTGTAGAGCTGGATTGGTGGTGCTGAATTCTCTTAGCTTTTGCTTGTCTGTAAAGCTTTTGATTTCTCCGTCGAATCTGAATGAGATCCTTGCCAGGTAGAGTCATCTTGGTTGTAGGTTATCCCCTTTCATCACTTTAAATACATCATGCCAGTCCCTTCTGGGTTGTAGAGTTTCTGCTGAGAAATCAGCTGTTAACGTTATGGGGATTCCCTTTTATGTTATTTGTTGTTTTTCCCTTGTTGCTTTCAATAATTTTTCTTTGCCTTTAATTTTTCTCAGTTTGATTACTATGTGTCTTGGCATGTTTCTCCTTGGGTTTATTCTGCCTGGGACTCTCTGTGCTTCCTGGACTTGGGTGGCTATTTCCTTTCCCATGTTAGGCAAGTTTTCCACTATAATCTCTTCAAATATTTTCTCAGGTCCTTTCTCTCTCTCTCCTCCTTCTGGGACCCCTATAATGCAAATGTTGTTGTGTTTAACGTTGTTCTAGAGGTCTTTTAGGCTGTCTTCATTTCTTTTCATTCTTTTTTCTTTATTCTGTTCCACAGCAGTGAAATCCACCATTCTGTCTTCCAGGTCACTTATGCGTTCTTCTGCCTCTGTTATTCCGCTATAGATTCCTTCTAGTGTATTTTTCATTTCAGTTATTGTATTGTTCATCTCTGTTTGTTTTTTCTTTAATTCTTCTAGGTGTTTGTTCTTTAATTCTTCTAGCTTTTTGTTAAACATTTCTTGCATCTTCTTGATCTTTGCCTCCATTCTTTTTCGAGGTCCTGCATCATCTTCACTATCATTATTCTGAATTCTTTTTCTGGAAGGTTGCCTATCTCCCCTTCATGTGGTTGTTTTTCTTTTTTTTTTTTTGCAGTACACGGGCCTCTCACTGTTGTGGCTTCTCCCGTTGCGGAGCACAGGCTCCGGGCACGCAGGCTCAGCGGCCATGGCTCATGGGCCTAGCCGCTCCGTGGCATGGGGGGTCTTCCCCGACCGGGGCACGAACCCATGTCTCCTGCATCAGCAGGCGGACTCTCAACCTCTGCGCCACCAGGGAAGCCCCACGTAGTTGTTTTTCTGGGGTTTTATCTTGTTCATTCATCTGGTACATAACCCTATGCCTTTTCACTTTGTCTCTCTTTCTGTAAATGTGGTTTTTGTTCCACAGGCTGCAGGACTACAGTTCTTCTTGCTTCTGCTATCTGCCCTCTGGTGGATGAGGCTATCTAAGAGGCTTGTGCAAGTTTCCTGATGGGAGGGACTGGTGGTGGGTAGAGTTGGCTGTTGCTCTGGTGGGAAGAGCTCAGTAAAACTTTAATCTGCTTGTCTGCTGATGGGTGGGGCTGGGTTCCCTGCCTGTTGGTTGCTTGGCCTGAGGCGAGCCAACACTGGTGCCTACCCGGCTCTTTGGTGGGGCTAATGGTGGACTCTGGGAGGACTCACACTGAGGAGTATTTCCCAGAACTTTTGCTGCCAGTGTCCTTGTCCCCACAGTGAGACACAGCCACTCCCCACCTCTGCAGGAGACCCTCCAACACTAGCAGGTAGGTCTGGTTTAGTCTCCTATGGGATCACTGCTCCTTCCCCTGGGTCCCAATGCGCACACTACTTTGTGTAGTACCCTCCAAGAGTGGAATCTCGGTTTCCCCCAGTCCTGTTGAAGTTCTGCAATCAGATTCTGCTAGGCTTCACAGTCTGATTCTCTAGGAATTCCTCCTCCCATTGCCGGACCCCCAGGTTGGGAAGCCCGACGTGGGGCTAAGAACCTTCACTCCAGTGGGTGGACTTCTGTCATATAAGTGTTCTCCAGTTTGGGAGTCACCCACCCAGCAGGTATGGGATTTGATTTTATTGTGATTGCATTGCTCCTACCATCTCATTGTGGCTTCTCCTTTGTCTTTGGATGTGGGGTATCTTTTTTGGTGAGTTCTACTGTCTTCCTGTCGATGATTGTTCAGCAGTTAGTTGTGATTCCAGTGCTCTCACAAGAGGGAGTGAGTGCACGTCCTTCTATTCTGCCATCTTGAACCAATCCTCCCACCTCGTACTAATTAAGATGGCTATTATAAAAAAGAAACAGAAAACAGCAAGCATTGGTGAGGATGTGGAAAAATTTAAACCCTTGTGCGATAATGGTGGGAGTGTAAAATAGTATAGCTGCTTCGGAAAACAGTATGGCAATTCCTTGAAATATTAAAAACAGAATTATCATATGATTCAGGAATTCCACTTCTCAGTATACACCCGAAAGAACTGAAAGCAAGGCCATGAATACATATCTGTACACCCATGTTTAAAGCAGCATTACTCACAACAGCCAAGAGGTGATAGCAACCCAAATGTCCATCAACAGATGAGAGAATAAACAAAATGTGGTATCTATCTATCTATTTATCTATCTATCTATAATGCAATATTATTCAGCCTTAAAAACAAAGAAAATTCTGACACATGATACAACACGGATGAACTTGAGAACATTATGCTATGTGCAATAAGCCAGGCAGAAAAGGACAAATGCTGTATGATTCCACTTATATGAGGGACCTGTTGGAGTCAGCTGCATAGAGACAGAAAGCAGAAGGTGGTTGCCAAGGGCTGCAGAGAGGGAGGAATGGGGAGTTGTTTAATGGGTGTAGAGCTTCAGTTCTCCAAGATGAAAAGAATTCTGGAGATGCGTTGTGGTGATGGTTGCATAACAATGTGAATGTATTTAATGCCACTGAACTATAGGCTTAAAAATGATTAAGATGGTAACTTTTGTTATGTGTATTTTACTTCAATTAAAAATTTAGAAAAATACAAGAAACGATAGGAAAGGATTAGCTGAAGTTAAGGCAGAATTTATTCAATTTCCCTGCAATCATATTATCTAAGACATAAGCGGTGGTTATTTGGCAAGGGTACAATTCCATTTAAGGCCTTCTATAGTTGGATTTTAGCTCAGAAATGCAGCATATTTGGTACAAATTTGAGAGAATTTATTCTGGCATGGACTCTTGTTCATGATAAATGCATCTTTGCCTCACCATTCCTTGACCAAACTCAATCACTCTCAGTGCAGGGCACGGCGTGACCTTCACAGCTTCTCTGAAGGTCACCTGGCGTACTGTGGCCTGGCCAAGTCACGTGAGCGTGGACGAGGGCAGGCTCCCTGCTCTCCTCAAGCTGTGTTCTCAATGATGACGGCAATTCCTTGGCCCCCTCCAATGCAGGCCGATCCTACAGCATATTTTCCACCCCGACGCCTAAGAAAGAAAGCAGTGGCTGAAATCTACTTGAATAAAGAATATACAGAATTAGATAATTAAGTAAATAGTATTTATAATGGTCACATTTGCATTATTCATTCTTGTTCAGCTCATCAGCTCTACCTTTTTTCCAGTCCTCAATACTGGAGAAAAGAGGAGAAAGAATTTGGAAAGCTGGATAGTCTCATTTTTTTTAAAAAGTAGTAACACAGAAGAGGGAGGCTGAAACAAATATAAAAGCTTAGGCTGCTGTGAGGAAGGAGTGAGGACAGGAGGTAATTGGGATAAACCGGAAGTTGAAGAAGGGGGAGTAAATACTCAGCCCCTTTGGTTTATTTGTTTTATATTTTTATGAACCTTAGAATAAGTATAATTACTGAAGTTCATCCATATGAAAGGTCAGATAATTTAGAAACATTTCATGTCCCTTTCACAAAAATCAGACACCTTTAAAGTACCATCTGCTCTAATTCTTCAGTCCTGATAGAATGACCTTGAGAAACCATCAAGGAATTATTTTTTGTGCACATCAATCACTCATTTCCTCTCAATCATTAAGTGAAATAGGAGTCCCATTTACCTTAACTTCACAGGGGAGCAGAGTGATTTTCTGCCCTGACATATTTGGTTTTGTTTGCAATTTCCCTACTAACAGAGCAAAATGATCCAAAATACACAGTACAGAAGGAGGAGCTCTTCTATTAAAACTGAAAAGTATCAAACACACAGAAGGCTCCTCCTGGAACCCTGGAAACAATGAGGGAAAAACTTAGCTCAGACCCAAATTGTCAGTTTGCTTAGGTTTCTTAAATGACAGCACCTAGATCAGTATTTTGTTTTCTTAAATAATTGTGTCTCACTCCTATAACTGGCACAAGAATGCAAGTGCCATGAGAACCAGGGCCTCATCATGGGCTCGCTGCTCTGCACCAGCACCAGGGATGGGGCCAGATGTACACTAGGCCCTCAGTGAACACGTGCTGAGTGGCTGCACTGTGAATGTAAGAGCGAGCATCCCAAGAGCAGAGGCACCAACAAGTCAACTGAGTCATCTATAAGGTCTACTGAAAAAGGGGTATCCAAATAACCCGTTCCTGGTGAGATGCAGTGCGAGGCGGTATGAAGAAGAATGAAAAATGTTGGATTGTTCTGGGGAAACCTAAATTCATGCATTTACACAAAAGATGGCAAATCTGAAAAGCAACAATTTCTAGCACGTACCTTAATTCATGAACCAGGTGTGCAGTAATTCTTGATCCAGATCCCCCTAATGGGTGACCCAAAGCAATGGCCCCTCCATTCACGTTGGTTTTACTTGGGTCAAGATCCAAACTCTTTTCAACTGCCAAGTACTGGGGAGCAAAAGCTTCATTCACCTTAAAACAATCAAAACACTAATAAAAATCCTTATTCACAAACTTATTTCTAACTGAGAACTGTCCAGTCCTGTCAATGGCTAATTATCCTGTTTTTTTTTTTTCTACTTAAATTACATTGCAAGCTTATTTTAATTTATCTTCAATCATTCTTTGTAAAGATAACAGGTTTGAAAATGGGTATATTTACTAAGTGATACTTTAAGTGTAATGTATCCCTTAGAGAAAAGAAATCCTCAGTGATACTATAAATGGATACTGGAGTAGGATACTGTAGAAAGCCCACAGGTTCTGCAGCTAGATGGACAGTTCAAATCTTGGCTATATGGATGTTCTTTAAACTCTCTTGACACTCAAATTTCTTCAGTGGTAAAATGTGACTGTCGTATCATCTTAAGAGTTATTGTTAAGGTTAAGTGAAATCATGGGTATTAAGTGTTTAGTGTATTATCTGACACAAGCAAGTATTCAATAAATAGTTGCTATTATTATTACTACTACTCAGTACTACTAGCCACACTTCCAAGAAACTGACAGACAATAAATAATAAACAGTCAGGGCGGACAGCTTCAAGAGGGCGGAAGAGTAAGACGTGGAGATCACCTTCATCTCCACAAATACATCAAAAATACCTCTACATGTGGAACAGCTCCTACAGAACACCCACTGAATGCTGGCAGAAGACCTCAGACTTCCCAAAAGGCAAGAAAATCCCCCTGTACTGGGTAGGGTAAAAGAAAAAAGAAAAAACAGAGACAAAAGAATAGGGATGGGACCTGCACCTCTGGGAGGGAGCCGTGAAGGAGGAAACGTTTCCACACACTAGGAAGACCCTTCACTGGCAGAGACCGGGGATGGGCGGGGGGAAAGCTTCAGAGCCGCAGAGAAGAGCGTAGCAACAGGGGTGCAGCGGGCAAAGTGGAGAGGTTCCCGCACAGAGGACTGGTACTGACCAGCTCTCACCAGCCTGAGAGGCTTGTCTGCTCACCCACCGGGACGGGTGGGGGCTGGGAGCTGAGGCTCGGGCTTCAGAGGTCAGATCCCAGGGAGAGGATTGGGGTTGGCTGCGTGAACACAGCCTGAAGGGGGCTAGTGCACCACAGCTAGCTGGGAGGGAGTCCGGGAAAATGTCTGGAACTGCCTAAGACGCAAGAGAACATTGTTTCAGGGTGCGCGAAAGAGGGGATTCAGAGTACCACCTAAACAAGCTCCAGAGATGGGCATGAACCGTGGCTATCAGCGTGGACCCCAGAGATGGGCATGAGATGCTAAGGCTGCTGCTGCAGCCACGAAGAATCCTGTGTGCAAGCACAGGTCACTCTCCACACCTCCCCACCTGGGAGCCTGTGCAGCCCGCCACTCCCAGGGTCCTGTGATCCAGGGACAACATCTCCAGGAGAACACACGTCGTGCCTCAGGCTATTACAATGTCACGCAGGCCTCTGCCACTGCAGGCTCGCCCCGCATTCCATACCCCTCCCTCCCCTTCGCCTCAGTGAGCCAGAGCTCCCTAATCAGTTGCTATGTTAACCCCGTCCTGTCTGGGTGGGGAACAGATGCCCTCAGGTGACCTACACGCAAAGGCACAGCCAAATCCAAAGCTGAACTCCAGGAGCTGTGCGAACAAAGATGAGAAAGGGAAATCTATCCCAGCAGCCTCAGGAGCAGCGGATTAAATCTCCACAATTAAATTGATGCACCCTTCATCTGTGGAATACCTGAATAGACAACGAAACATCCCAAAATTGAGGTGGTGGACTTTGGGATCAACTGTAGACTTGGGGGTTTGCTTTCTGCATCTAATTTGTTTCTGGTTTTATGTTTATCTTAGTTTAGTATTTAGAGCTTATTATCACTGGGAGATTGGCTTATTGATTGGGTTGCTCGTTTCCTTTTTTTTAAAAAAATATATTTTTCCTTTTTCTCCCTGTGTTAGTGTGTATATATATGCTTCTTTGTGTGATTTTGTCTGTATAGCTTTGCTTCTACCATTTGTCCTAGGGTTCTTTCTGTCTGTCCATTTTGTTTTGTTTGTTTACTTTGTATAGTTTTTAGCACTTGTTATCATTGGCGGATTTGTTTTTCGGTTTGGTTGCTGTTTCTTTCTTTCTTTTTTTTAACTACTTTAAAATTTTTTTATTTTTAATAATTAAAAAAATTTATTTTATTGTATTCTTTCTTTACTTTTTCTTTCTTTCTTTATTCCTTTCTTTCTCTCTCTTTTCCCTCCCTCCCTCCTTCCCTCCCTCTCTCTCTCTCTCGTTCTCTTTCTTTCTTTCTTTTTTTCCTCCATTTTCTTCTAAGCTGGGTGGCTGACAGAGTCTTGGAGCTCCAGCCGAGTGTCACGTCTGAGCCTCTGAGGTGGGAGAGCTGAGTTCAGGACACTGGCCCACCAAAGACCTCCCGGCCCCACGTAATATGAAACGGTGAAAGCTCTCTCAGAGATCTCCATCTCAATGTTAAGACCCAGCTCCACTCAACGACCAGCAAATTACAGTGATGGACACCCTAGGCCAAACAACTAGCAAGAGAGGACCAAAACCCTGCCCATTAGCAGAGAGGCTGCCTAAAATCATAATAAGTCCACAGACACCCCAAAACACACCACCAGACGCGTCCTGCCCACCAGAAAGAAAAGACTGCGCCGCATCCAGCAGAACAGAGGCACCAGTCCGCTCCACCAGGAAGCCTACACAACCCACTGAACCAACCTTAGCCACTAGGGGCAGACACCAAAAACAACAGGAACTACAAACCTGTAGCCTGTGAAAAGGAGACCCCAAACACAGTAAGCTAAGCAAAATGAGAAGACAGAGAAATACACAGCAGATGAAGGAGCAAGGTAAAAATCCAACAGACCAAACAAATGAAGAGGAAATAGGCAGTCTACCTGAAAAAGAATTCAGAGTAATGGTAGTAAACATGATCTAAAATCTTGGAAATAGAATGGAGAAAATACAAGAAATGTTTAACAAGGATGTAGAAGAACTAAAGAGCAAACAAACAATGATGAACAGCACAATAAATGAAATTAAAAATTCTCTAGAAGGAATCAATAGCAGAATAACTGAGGAGGAAGAACAGATAAGTGACCTGGAAGATAAAATAGTGGAAATAACTACTGCAGAGCAGAATAAAGAAAAAAGAATGAAAAGAATTGAGAACAGTCTCAGAGACTTCTAGGATAACATTAAACGCACCAAAATTCAAATTATAGGGGTCCCAGAAGAAGGAGAGAAAAAGAAAGGGACTGAGAAAATATCTGAAGAGATTATAGTTGAAAACTTCCCTAATGTGGGAAACGAAATAGTCAATCAAGTCCAGAAGAACAGAGAGTCCCACACAGGATAAATCCAAGGAGAAACATGCCAAGACACATATTAATCAACTAACAAAAATTAAATACAAAGAAAAAATATTAAAAGCAGCAAGGGAAAAGCAACAAATAACATTCAAGGGAATTTCCATAAGATTAACATCTGATCTTTCAGCAGAACCTCTGCAAGCCACAAGGGAGTGGCAGGACATATTTAAAGTGATGAAAGGGAAAAACCTACAACCAAGATTACTCTACCCAGCAAGGATCTCATTCAGATTCGATGGAGAAATTTAAACTTTTACAGACAAGCAAAAGCTAAGAGAATTCAGCAACACCAAACCAGCTCTACTACAAATCCTTAAGGAACTTCCCTAGGCAGGAAACACAAGAGAAGGAAAAGACCTACAATAACAAACCCAAAGCAATTAAGAAAATGGTAATAGGAACACACATATCGATAACTACCTTAAATGTAAATGGATTAAATGCTCCAACCAAAAGACATAGATTGGCTGAATGGATACAAAACCAAGACCTATATATTTGCTTTCTACAAGAGACCCACTTTAGACCTAGGGACACATACAGACTGAAAGTGAGGGGATGGAAAAAGATATTCCATGCAAATGGAAATCAAAAGAAAGCTGGAGTAGCAATTTTCATGTCAGGCAAAATAGACTTTAAAATAAAGTCTATTACAGGAGACAAAGAAGGACACTACATAATGATCAAGGGATCAATCCAAGGAGAAGATATAACAATTGTAAATATTTATGCACCCAACACAGGAGCACCTCAATACTTAAGGCAAATGCTAACAGCCATAAAAGGGGAAATCAACAGTAATACAATCATACTAGGGGACTTTAACACCCCACTTTCAAGAATAGACAGATCATCCAAAATGAAAATAAATAAGGAAACACAAGTTTTAAATGATACATTAAACAAGATGGACTTAATTGATATTTATAGGACATTCCATCCAAAAGCAACAGAATACACTTTCTTCTCAAGTGCTCATGGAACATTCTCCAGGATAGATCATGTCTTGGGTCACAAATAAAGCCCTGGTAAACTTAAGAAAACTGAAATCGTATCAAGTACCTTTTCCAACCAAAACGCTATGAGACTAGATATCAATTACAGGAAAAAAATCTGTAAAAATTACAAACACATGTAGGCTAAACAATACACTACTAAATAACCAAGGGATCACTGAAGAAATCAGAGGAAGTCAAAAAATACCTAGGAACAAATGACAATGAAAACACGACGACCTAAAACCTATGGGATGCAGCAAAAGCAGTTCTAAGAGGGAAGTGTAGCACTACAATCCTACCTCAAGAAACAAGAAACATCTCAAATAAACAACCTAACCTTACACCTAAAGCAATTACAGAAAGAAAAACAAAAAAAAACCCCAAAGTTAGCAGAAGGAAAGAAATCATAAAGATCAGATCAGAAATAAATGAAAAAGAAAAGAAGGAAACAATAGCTAAGATCAATAAAACTAAAAGCTGGTTCTTTGAGAAGATAAACAAAACTGATAAACCATTAGCCAGACTCATCAAGAAAAAAAGGGAGAAGACTCAAATCAATAGAATTAGAAATGAAAAAGGAGAAGGAACAACTGACACTGCAGAAATACAAGGATCACGGAGATTACTACAAGCAACTATATGCCAATAAAATGGACAACCTGGAAGAAATGGACACATTCTTAGAAATGCACAACCTTCTGAGAATGAACCAGGAAGAAATAGAAAATATGAACAGACCAATCACAAGCACTGAAATTGAAACTGTGATTAAAAATCTTCCAACAAACAAAAGCCCAGGACCAGATGGCTTCACAGGCGAATTCTATCAAACATTTAGAGAAGAGCTAACACCTATCCTTCTCAAATGCTTCCAAAATATAGCAGAGGGAGGAACTCTCCCAAACTCATTCTGTGAGGCCACCATTACCCTGATACCAAAACAGACAAAGACGTCACAAAAAAAGAAAACTACAGACCAGTATCACTGATGAACACACATGCAAAAATCCTGAACAAAATACTAGCAAACAGAATCCAACAGCACATTAAAAGGATCATATACCATGATAAAGTGGGGTTTACCCCAGGAGTGCAAGGATTCTTCAATATACGCAAATCAATCAATGTGATACACCATATTAACAAATTGAAGGAGAAAAATCATATGATCCTCTCAATAAATGTGGAAAAAACTTTAGACAAAATTCAATACCCATGTATGATAAAAACCTTTCAGAAAGTAGGCATAGAGGGAACTTACCTCAACATAATAAAGGTCATATATGACAAACCCACAGCCAACATCGTTCTCAATGGTGAGAAACTGAAACCATTTCCTCTAAAATCAGGAACAAGACAAGGTTGCCCACTCTCACCACTATTATTCAACATAGTTTTGGAAGTTTTAGCCACAGCAATCAGAGAAGAAAAAGAAATAAAAGGAATCCAAATCGAAAAGAAAAAGTAAAACTGTCACTGTTTGCAGATGTCATGATACTATACATAGAGAATCCCAAAGATGCTATTAGAAAACTACTAGAGCTAATCAATGAACCTGGTAAAGTAGCAAATACAAAATTAATGCATAGAAATCTCTTGCATTTCTATACACTAACGCCAAAAAATCTTAAAGAGAAATTAAGGCAACACTCCCATTTACCACTGCAACAAAAAGAATAAAATATCTAGGAATAAACCTACCTAAGGAGACAAAAGACCTGTATGCAGAAAACTGTTAAGCCACTGCTGAAAGAAATTAAAGATGATACAAACAGACGGAAAGATATATCATGTTCTTGGATTGGCAGAATCAACATTGTGAAAATGACTATAGTACCCAAAGCAATTCACAGATTCAATGCAATCCCTATCAAACTACCAATGGCATTCATCCCAGAACTAGAAGAAAAAATTTCACAATTTGTATGGAAACACAAAAGACCCTGAAGAGCCAAAGCAAACTAGAAAACAAAAAACAGAGCTGGAGGAATCAGGCTCCCTGACTTCAGACTATACTACGAAGCTACAGTAATCAAGACAGTATGGTACTGGCACAGAAACAGAAATATAGATCAATGGAACAGGATAGAAAGCCCAGAGATAAATCCACACACATATGGTTACCTTATCTTTGATAAAGGAGGCAAGAATATACAATGGAGAAAAGACAGCCTCTTCAATAAGTGGTGCTGGGAAAACTGGACAGCTACATGTAAAAGAATGAAATTAGAACACTCCCTAACACCATACACAAAAATAAACTGAAAATGGAGTAAACCCCTAAATGTAAGGCCAGACACTATAAAACTCTTAGAGGAAAACATAGGCAGAACACTCTATGACATAAATCACAGCAAGATCCTTGTTGGCCCACCTCCCAGACAAATGGAAATAAAAACAAAAATAAACAAATGGGACCTAATGAAACTTCAAAGCTTTTGCACAGCAAAGGAAACCAGAAACAAGACCAAAAGAAAACCCTCAGAACGGGAGAAAATTTTTGCAAATGAAGCAACTGACAAAGGATTAATCCCCAAAATATACAAGCAGCTCATGCAGCTCAGTATCAAAAGAACAAACAACCCAATCTAAAAATGGGCGGAAGACCTAAACAGAGCTTTCTCCAAAGAAGATATAGAGATTGCCAACAAACACATGAATGCTCAACATCACTAATCATTAGAGAAATGCAAATCAAAACTACAATGAGGTATCACCTCACACCACTCAGAATGGCCATCATCAAAAAATCTACAAAGAATAAATGCTGGAGAGTGTGTGGAGGTAAGGGAACCCTCTTGCACTGTTGGCGGGAATGTAAATTGATACTGCCACTATGGAGAACAGTATGGAGGTTCTTTACAAAACTAAAAATAGAACTAGTATATGACCCAGCAATCCCACTACTGGGCATATACCCTGAGAAAACCATAATTCAAAAAGAGTCATGTACCACAGTGTTCACTGCAGCTCTATTTACAGTAGCCAGGACATGGAAGCAACCTAAGTGTCCGTTGACAGATGAATGGATAAAGAAGATGTGGCACATATACACAATGGAATATTACCCAGCCATAAAAAGAAATGAAATTGAGTTATTTGTAGTGAGGTGGATGGACCTAGAGACCGTCATACAGAGTGAAGTAAGTCAGAAAGAGAAAAACAAACACTGTATGCTAACACATATATATGGAATCTAAAAAAAAAAAAAAAGGTTCTGAAGAACATAGGGGCAGCACAGGAATAAAGATGCAGGAAAAGGGGCAGGACAGGAATAAAGACCGAGGAAAAATGACCTCATGATCATCAGAAGTCCCAAAGACAATCATGTCAGGGTGTTGAGAGCTATGTCTTTGAGTGTTTATACATCTATAAATGTTGATGCACAGCTCTGCGGAGCTGACATATTTCAAGAGTTTTAAGTGTGAAATCTAAAGTCAGAAATTTAATGGTACTTATTTGCTAATACAAATATCGTAATTAAGCAGCCCCCTTTGAAGCTCTGAGCTATGACCACCAAAGAATGGAAGAAGAGATTTAAGGATAAACCATTCGTCTGAAACCACAGTTACTTGGTGAGAGATTACCACAGAGGACGTCACACACGTGCCTAGAGTGAAAAGGCCCTTTCTCTATCAGTTTAAATAGAGAGATTTCCTTTGTTATATTAGTTATTTCCCAATATCAAGTAGCTTAATTACCTAAAATTTTCAAATAGTCCCCAAATGTAGAATGTATATAATCCATTTTTAAGCATTTTCTTTATCCTTTCTTTCTTTTTTTTTTTTTGCGGTATGCGGGCCTCCCACTGCTGCGGCCTCTCCCGCCGTGGAGCACAGGCTCCAGACGCGCAGGCCCAGTGGCTATGGCCCACGGGCCCAGCCGCTCCACGGCACGTGGGATCCTCCCGGACCGGGGCACGAACCCACGTACCCCGCATTGGCAGGCGGACTCTCAACCACCGCGCCACCAGGGAAGCCCTATCCTTTCTTTTAATTGTACTAAGTATTTAAGATGCCTTTGTTTTAAATTAACATTAAACAAATCACTCTTCCAATAAATTTAAGTTTCCAATGCCAAAAATTATGATAGGTGCATTCCAAATCAAGCCACACTATGGTGTAAAAGCCAAAGGTAAGTTTGGGGGATGGGGGTGGTTGTTAACGTGGCAGAAGTGCAAGAATCTTTCAGATTTGGGATCAGATTATTGTTTTTCTATTAGGTCAATTTTTTACCTGTATTTTTTCACTTTAATCCATAAGATAAGGGTAAAGTTACTTATTTCTCACCCACCTTATGTAACATTCAATTCAATTCAACAGGAACATTAATAGTATAAAATGTAGTAGAATCTTACGACGTCATAAAACGTTTCCAAGAGTTTATACTTTAGTAGAAGAAATCAGGCTCTTTTAATTATTCAAATATAAATAAGGCATTTTAATCAGGTATGGCCTGATTATATGCCAATACAGCCATGTAATGAAAGTAATATTTAGATTCACATCATTTGGAAAGTTTAATGGTACTAAAACAAAAAGAGCTATAAAAATCAAACTAAAGCCATTTATGCAATAGAAGTTGGTGGTTTATCTATGCTGTAAAAAAAGCAGAACACTTACTTCTACCAAATCCATATCCTTAAGACTTAGTCCTGTTTTCTTCAGTGCCCCATTGATAGCAGGGACAGGACCTATATAAGAACAAAACCCAATTTCATCTTATAAGTATCAAATTTCTCCTTCTTTACTAATCAGGTAAGTAAGGAGGAAATAAAGTGACAGTTAGTAGCTGAAAATCTTGCCACCCTGATAGCACACAATACTAAATGATATGACAATAAAGAAACAGGAAATGGGACCAAGGTGAAAAGCTGTTTATGCAAGTCTTATGCAAAACTTAACATGAAAAGTTCTACCATAAGTGACTTTAAGAGTCCAAACAGCCAAAAGAGTCATATGGGGTTTTGTATAGATCATTCTTTTTTTTTTTTTTTTTTCCTAGAAAGTCTTCCTTTATTAATGAACTCCTATTTCCCTCATGGTAATATTGAGAGATCGAAGCTCATTAGTTCCACGAATTTATATACACATCTATGTACATACACACATAGGTGTTTTTTTGCTCTTTTTTTTTAATGCTTTTTTTTTTTTAATTTTAGTTTTTATTTTAAAAAATTTTTGGCCGCTTTGTGCAGCTTGTGGGATCTTAGTTCCCCAACCAGGGATTGAACCCGGGCCACAGCAGTGAAAGCGCCAAGTCCTAACCATAGGAGCACCAGGGAATTCCCATGTATAGATCATTCTTAATACCAAATGGTAAGGTAGACTGAGCGCTCTCCTGGGATACAAATCATATGTATTCCCAGTATAGAAGTGACTGTGGCTACACTCTGAATTTTCAGGCCCATTTGGACAAAAGACAAGAAATAGCAGTAGTATCTCCATATGGGCATAGTAAGACAGAAAGCTACCAGGCACTTTAGGGAAAAGATATCTGAAGCAAGGAGACATTTATAACTCCAATGGTAAGCAGAGATTTGAAATAAAACATAACCCCCAATGAAGAAATGCAAATCCACCTTAAAAAACTTTTGAAATAAACTTTACCTCCCAGATTTCTGATGATCACTAATGACAGTTTAATACTGCTCATAATTTTTAAGTAAATTGATATTTCTTTCCAAAAAAAAATCTGGCTAGGGATGATTATCTACTTCTCTATCTGTTCTTAGAGAATGAAATTGTCATAAATGTCTAAAAAGAAAAATATGTGGTTGTATTTTGTTGAATTCAAGTAGTCAAATATTCTGTATCAAGTTTCACAAACATACCTAAGGTAAAATGGGAAATCAGTCTTTATAAGAAAAGCAAAACACAATCTAAATACATTGTAATTAATTTTGTCACTTAGTTAAAAAGTTTCTTGGACAACAGTCTGCTGATTGGCAGGGCCATCCAATTAACACTTTTCGATGTAAAGCATCAGTTCTATACTGGCTACTGATTTAATATGGAATCTAATTCCAGATTCTCTTTGTATCTCTAAGACATGAAAGTGGGATGGGTAGTCGATAGAAGAGCATCAGTTACCCATCATGGTCAGGGCGTGAAGTATCCTACAGGGGTGAAAGGTACACAGAACTGAAAGCTGAGGGTATAAAACCATTGTACATACTTCCATGTCTTCATAACCACAGTCAGCATGACTAAATGTGTTCATATTAACTTAGAATCATTACACTCAATTGTAACAATATGCTAGGCCACAAGCTAATTTTTTTTTTTTTCGTTACGCGGGCCTCTCACTGTGTGGCCTCTCCCGTTGCAGAGCACCGGCTCTGGACGCGCAGGCTCAGTGGCCATGGCTCACGGGCCCAGCCGCTCCGCAGCACGTGGGATCTTCCTGGCCCGGGGCACGAGCCCGTGTCCCCTGCATCGGCAGGCGGACTCTCAACCACTGCGCCACCATGGAAGCCCACACAAACTAATTTTTAAAGGACTGTTTCCATACCACTCTGCTATTTACTGGGACTCAGGAAGGTAGAGTATTCTTGTTGGGAAAAGGACACTTTACTCCTACTGCTAGCTCCTACCACTAACAGCTGTGTAACCTTGGGTACCCTTGGGGGCTATAAGCGTCTCATCAGAAGTGCTTTGAGCTGGTTTTTAACTCATTTCTTTTGAAGCACTGGAATCCTTTCTACAAATGAAACTCTATAACAGATAAAGCAAGAGCTGCCCCGGCTGAAGAGGCATTTCAATGGCCTTTATTGTACTACGGGGCAAACATTCAGGCCCTGAAATAGAAGGAAGAAAAACTACATTTTCTTGCTCACTAACTATGTCAAAATGTATCAGAACCTCTTAAATGAGGTTAAACTGAAAACTATAAAATAACTACTTATCTCTATCAAATAAATATGGGTGATCATTAAAACAATCAAGGTACACTGAAAAAAACCCACATTCCTAGGCTCTACCCTGGACCTACTGAAACAAAACCTTGGGGTGGAGTAGGGTTATGGGCAGATTCTGATCATCATTTGGGGTTGGGAACCACTGCCCTAGACACCAAAATGATAAATGCCATACCAACATACAGATATTTAATTTTTCAAGCTACCTTCCATTTCTAAGATGAAAGTTATATTTTGCTGACAGCAGGTAGCTGAAAGCTAGTAAGCTTTTAAGACTGTAATAAAGAAAAAAAAAAGACTCACATAGCAGTTACTGGAGTTGTGGGAAGATTAAATGAGATATATTAAGGACCACGTGTAAAACACCCAGTGGGGTATCTTCTCTATTTCACCCCAAGATTTTTCCATCTCACGTTTTCTTCTGTCTTATCAGTACCTCGTAATCCTTCTATGTTGTTTACCGTGTGTTAATTTTATGTATCTTAAATGGACAACGGGACACGATTACTGCCCAGAAGGAGTTTACATGGTCTTGATCTTCCTATTATTCCTGGCATAGTTTTTCATAAAGATAAGTTGTTTAAATGACTGATTAACAATCTCCTTTTCTCTACAAGTGTCCTTGATTTGGCTACTGTTTCAGGAATCTGAATGCCAAAGAAGCCTTATCTTCAGAAATGTAACAGAACCAGTTTGTTTCACTACAAACTCACCAATACCCATGATAGTGGGATCACATCCAGACACAAAATAGCCCACAATTCTTGCCAGTGGTGTGAAGTTATGTTTTTTAACAGCATCTTCACTAGCTATGATAACAGCTCCAGCACCATCAGAAATCCCCTTGGAAACAAAAACAGATGTTAACTAGAGGGTAAAAGAATATAGTTAATCAAGGTTTGAACTAATGGAGTGGTATTAGGATTATGGCAATACATAAGAAGCAGTGCCATAATTTGGGATACAAGTAGTATTAGTGGCACACTGCTGGGTTAAAGAGATTGTTGTAGGCACAGAACACAACCTCACTAAGGGAAAACAGGAAAGAATGTCAAGAAAAAGCTTATATCCAGATGTGGGTAGATGTAAGAAGAAATCTGATGAGTTGTATACACGAGGAAGAAAAACTAAAATAATAAGCCAGGTAGATTTCCTTCTAACATTCTGAAAAGACTAAGAAATTGGAAAAGTATTACATAAGGGCTCCTGGCTAAAATATTTTATTTTGGACTATGAAAGCCCAAATTAATAGAATATGAACACTACTAGCTTAAGCTAGATAAGCAAAGACTAGCATGAAAGGTATCTAAAGGGTACTGCATGATTATTTTGCATTGAACACATCAGGAAGAGTTCAAGATAATTCGTGGTGCTACCTACCGATGCGTTCCCTGCAGTAACGGTTCCTTCTTTCTTGAACACTGGAGGAAGTTTATTTAACTGCTCCAGGGTTGTTTGGGGCCGAGCATGTTCATCCACCTGCATGGTCTGCTTTCCTTTCTTTGTCTTCACCTCAATTGGTGCCATCTCATTATTAAAGCAACCAGCATCATTAGCTGAAATAGTAGAAAGACTATTCATAAGAAAGGGGGAAAAAATAACAGAAAAGCAGAAAAATGAAATCAAATATATCCTTCAATTTATTAATTTAGGCTGCACCACACAGCTTGCAGGATCTTAGTTCCCCAACCAGGTGTGGAACCCGTGCCCCTTGCAGTGGAAGCGCAGAGTCCTAACCACTGGACTGCCAGGGAAGTCCCTATATTTCTGTTTAATTTAATATTTCAGTCCCTATATTTCAGTTTAATTTAATTAAGTCCCCATATTTCAGTTTAATTTAATATTTCAGTTTAATTTCAGTCCCTGTATGTCAGTATATCTCAGTCTATTTTAATATAAGCCTTTATTACTTACATAACTTACCTCGCCTATTGGAGGATTTAATACACTATTGTCCATGCAGATGCGTTCTGTACCTTTTTAAAATTACAATTTCCGATTTTTTTTACAAGGTACTGCTAGACTATTAGTGTTTGTTACCTACAGGTGTAATGGCGCTGAATGGATTTCATGCCCTTTTTTAACTTCTCTGGGTGAGACATGAAGTAATTAAAAAGTTACCAAGCTGCACCTACAGTCAACAATAATGTATTGTACACTTAAAATTTTATTAAGAGGATAGATCCCACGTTAAGTGTTCTTACCACAATAAGAAAAAAAGTTAACAAGTTGTCTATGTCACCAAGTAATCTATGACTGAAATTTAATGACAGGCAACCTGAAGAAATTATATGTGCTATTACTGACACAATTCTAAGTAAAAACAGCTTACCTACTTCCACCTCCACTGACTGGACTGGACAATAGTAACAATAGTAATATGAAGCTTCAGAAATAGAATAAGCCAATGACCTTAATTTTGATATCACTTTATAGCAGGCTAACACTTTCCTTATTTGGTTCTCACAACAACTCTGTTAGGAAAAAAGGGGAGGCAAATATTTTTATCTCTGTTATTAGCTCAGTGAATAAATACTTGGTGAACAAATGACTTGACTGAAGTCAGAAAAACTGTATGTGGCAAAATTAAAAATGGGCTGATAACGCTTGACCTCTACACCAATACCCTTTCACTTAAATGTGTAACTAAAAAACAGAGGATGAGTTGGATTGGCTCCATTAGACTTATCCCTCTTGAAATGCTAAAATGAACTTTATCCTCACTATTCCAAGTATTTAATACCCCTAAATAAGAGTTTCTGCTCATTTATAATAGTTTAGTTTTCAAAACCCTTTTCAGAGGACTAACAAATTTCTTCAACTCACCATACTGATAAAAGAATGGCTGTCATCTTGCTCATTTTGGACTGGCTCACCAGCAGTGTGCAATGTTACACAAGGGCACCATGGCACCACATCTAGGGCCTTGGACTAGTTCTGGGTCTCTGAGTCAGGCGCAAGGATTCTCAATTAGGAATGGGAGAGAGAAGTCATAAAAGGATACCCAATGGGTCTTTCCCAAACATAACATCCCCTTCTTGTGCATATGATACGCCTCTCGGGGGAGGACATCCTCCCTGTCCCAGCTGTCCCAGTGAGCCATCATCTCTGATGGAGTGTACCATAGCCCTCAGAGTCTTCTGCTGACCAGTTTGGGGCAAAATTCAAGTGTCCAGATAGGGCCAATTAACCATACTACTTTTAAAGTAGTATTCACATACTTCAAAAGAGAAACACCCAGTTAATTTGCAATTATAGAATATTTAATCATTAAAAAAAAGGAATAATGAAAAACTGTGGTTTTCTAAAGGTATACTTTTAAACTAATATTATATGACCTTTATAATCTAAAATGATAAAAATCTTTCCTAGTTTTCTTTCTATAGATATTTATAATAAACAATTTCACTGACCAGCTTTCCACCTCTGCTGTGACTGCAGGGCATATTTGTCACTGTCTTCTCTGCTTATTTTATGTTTTGCAGCAAGATTCTCTGCAGTAATTGCCATTGGGATTTGGATATGCTGATCTGTTAATCCTGTCCACAAAGAGTCTTCCAGCTATTAAAAGAAATTAATAAAATGATCTGTAAAGTGTATCTTTTGAAAGTAATATGCTATCATTTCTTTAAATTTAAATAATCAACAGTTCCAATAAAAATAGTAAAATTAGATTTTCTGATAAGCATTTAGTATTATGACTTATATTTCGGTTCTGAGACATTTTTTAAAACCATCCAACACCATAATAAAATGCACACACCCTCCTCTCTAAATGCAGGGCTCTAAAGAGTGGTAAATGTGCAGTTCCTGTGCACACACAGGAACTCACCCCACAATCAAAACTTAAACTCTCGTGGTTCCACTTTGTAAGAAACTTCACAGAGTCCTCATGCAACACTTCCCTGCAGCCACCTTTGTAAAGCAGTTACAAGCCCCTCACAAAAGCGTACGGCTGTGCTCTTTTTCATCCCATGCCTTCTGTGGTAGGAACAGCTGGTTCAATCAGTTGTTACTACAAGGTTGAAAAGAGCCTGGAATAGGCTCCTTGAGCAATGGTTGGTATTTGTTATCCAATTAGTTAAGTCTCTGATAAATGTATTCCACCTGTTTCTTCTAGACTGCCTTGTCACCTTTTGAGTCACTGACCTGTCTTCCCAAAGGTTTTCTTAAACGTATTAGGTATATTAAATATTACCTCATATTTTCTAAGTCTTACTCCTTTCAACTTTCAAAAACGCAAGGTGAGAAGCTGGGTGAACGGGATAAATGAATGATTACGACTAGGAAATCCTAAGAATATACAATGTCATCAGCCCTTTGATGTGGGAAGGACAGCATACCATCACTCTTTTTTAAAAAATATTTATTTATTTGGTTGCACCAGGTCTTAGTTGAGGCAGGTGGGCTCCTTAGTTGTGGCATGCGAACTCTTAGTTGCGGCACGCGTGTGGGATCTAGTTCCCTGACCAGGGATCGAACCTGGGCCCCCTGCATTGGGGGCATGGAGTCTTAATCACTGTCCCACCAGGGAAGTAAGTCCTATCACTTTTTTTCAGTACTACTCAGGCAGTTCTCAAAGGGTCGTTTTTTATCTGACTGATTTGGGACACTATAAACTGTATTTGAGGAGAATGTTTTCTGTGATAAAGAAGAAATCTATTCAATGGAGATTGCTCCAGAAATAAAATTTCCATAAATCTTGGTAAAGATTTAATTATTTGGTTTACCAATTATTCAGTAGAGAGATTAATTCAACCTTTGCCCATCTTTATAATCCACTCCTTCCCTTCCTCTATCTCCCCAGGTGTTAATGCCACTACCAAAGATGTGCCGAGATAAAGTCTACTTTTATGTGAGTTAAAATGTCAAAATTAACAACTACGAAATAGTTTACAAATTTCAAATCATTCATATTTTGCCAATGCCCTATTAACAAAATTGGTATAAAAATTTTTCTCTACCCCAAAATGCTGTTATTGAAATTACAGTACAATAGCATAAGAAATAATCTTTAAAAATTTTAATGGTTCCAACCTTGAGATCTGATCCAAACGTAGTTCCAAAACGAATATTTCTGACATAGAAGGGAGCCTGGCTCATGCTTTCAGTTCCTCCACACAAGACAATTTCAGAGTCTTTAACACAAATTTCCTATTTAAAAACAAATGAATGACAACAATGAAACCTTTTATTGTGACAGAAGTATGTACTTAAAAGTATGTATTAAGCAGTAAACCAATAGTAAAGCTAATAAGCAACATACCCTCGCTTAACAGTAAAACTTCCACATTACAGTGTCTCAAAGGGAAATATTTGTAAAGTAATTGCAAAGCAAATGCTAAAATATCCATTCCCACGATACAAGGAGAAAAAAAAAACGAACAGACTTCAATCATTTGTGCAGAAGTAACAAATCCTACCTACATTTTGACAAGGAATGGTAATTCTTAACTCAATACAAATACTGAAAATTAGCATAGATATTAATGTCTGATATAAATGTACAGATTGCCAGCAGATAATAAAGAATAAATCCTTTAAAAAGGCAAAAGTAAAATTTACCCTATTAATGGATGAATCTGAAGGAGACCACAGATTTATAAGAACTAGGTTAACCTAGAGGACTCATAAAGAGGAACCTGTTTCATTCTTCCAAATTTTTCTACTATTTGCATTTCTCAGAATAACAGCAAAGAACAACCCTCCAGGAGAGAGACCTTCAAGATGGCGGAGGAGTAAGACGTGGAGATCACCTTCCTCCCCAGAAATACATCAAAAATACATCTACACGTGGAACAGCTCCTACAGAACACCTACAGAACGCTGGCAGAAGACCTCAGACTTTCCAAAAGGCAAGAAAATCCTGACGTATCTGGGTAGGGCAAAAGAAAAAAGAAAAAACAGAGACAAAAGAATAAGGACGGGACCTGCACCTCGGGGAGGGAGCTGTGAAGGAGGAAAGGTTTCCACACACTAGAAGCCCCTTCGCAGGCAGAGACTGCGGGTGGCGGAGGGGGAGCTTCGGAGCCGCGGAGGAGAGCGCAGCCACAGGGGTGCGGAGGGCAAAGCGGAGAGAGTCCCGCACGGAGGACGGGTGCCGACCGGCGCTCACCAGCCTGAGAGTCTTGTCTGCTCACCCGCCGGGGCGGGCAGGGCTGGGAGCTGAGGCTCGGGCTTTGGTTGGAGCGCCGGAAGAGGACTGGGGTTGGCTGCGTGAACACAGCCTTAAGGGGCTAGTGCACCACGGCTAGCCGGGCGGGAGTCTGGGAAAAAGTCTGGAGCTGCCTAAGACAGGAGATACCATTGTTTCAGGATGTGCGAGGAGAGGGGATTCCTTCCCCATGTGCCCACAGAAGGCAGAGCACTGCCTAAGTGAGCTCCAGAGAAGGGCATGAGCCACGGCTATCAGCTCAGATCCCAGAGACGGACATGAACTGTGAATGCTGCTGCCGCTGCCACCAAGAATCCTGTGTGCAAGCACAAGTCACTACTCACACCCCCCCAGGAGCCTGTGCAGCATGCCACTGACAGGGTCCTGAGATCCAGGGACAACTTCCCCAGGAGAACATACAGCGTGCCTCAGGCTGTTACAATGTCATGCCAGACTCTGCTGCCATGGGCTCACCTGGCATTCCAATTATGACTACCATACCCCTTCCTCTCCCTGGCCTGAGTGAGCAAGAGAGCCCTAATTAGCCACTGCTTTAACCCCCTCCTGTCTGGGCAGGGAACAGATGCCTGAGGGTGACCTATATGCAGAGGTGGGGCCAAAACCAAAGCTGAACCCCGGGAGCTGTGCGAACGAAGAAGAGAAAGGGAAATCTCTCCCAGCAGCCTCAGGAGCAGCGGATTAAATCTCCACAATCAACTTGATGAACCCTGCATCTGTGGAATACCTGAAGAGACAACAAATGTTCCCAAAACTGAGGCGGCGGACTTTGGGAGCAACTGTAGACTTGGGGTTTACTTTCTGCAACTGATTTATTTCTGATTTTTATGTTTATCTTAGTTTAGCTTTTAGTGCTTGTTACCATTGGTGGATTTGTTTATTGGTTTGGTTGCTCTCATATTTTTTAATTTTTTAAAATTTTTATTTGTTTATATATATATATATATATATATATATATATATATATTCTTTTCTTCCCTTATTTTTCTTCCTTTTCTTCTGAGCCACGTGGCTGGCAGGGACTCAGTGCTCTGGCCAGGTGTCAGGCCTGAGCCTCTGAGGTGGGAGAGCTGAGTCCAGGACATTGGACCACCAGAGACCTCCCGGTCCCACATGCTATCCATCGGCGAGAGCTCTCCCAGAGATCTCCATCTCAACACTAAGACCCAGCTCCACCCAACTGTCAGCAAGCTCCAGTGCTGGATGCTCCATGCTAAACAACTAGCAAGCCAGGAACACAACCTCACCCATTAGCAGAGAGGCTGCCTAAAGTCATACTAAGTTCACAGACACCCCAAAACACACCACCAGACGTGGTCCTGCCCACCAGAGAGACAAGATCCAGCCTCACCAACCAGAACACAGGCACCAGTCCCCTCCACCAGGAAGCCTACACAAGCCACTGAACCAACCTCACCCACTGGGGAGAGACACCAAAAACAATGGGAACTATGAACCTGCAGCCTGCAAAAAAGGAGACCCTTAACACAGTAAGTCAAACAAAATGAGAAAACAGAGAAATATGCAGCAGATGAAGAAGCAAGTTAAAAACCCACCAGACCAAACAAATGGGCAGTCTACCTGAAAAAGAATTCAGAGTAATGAGAGTAAACATGATCCAAAATCTTGGAAATAACAGTGGAGAAAATACAAGAAACGTTTAACAAGGACGTAGAAGAACTAAAGAGCAAACAAAATATGATGACCAACACAATAAATAAAATTTAAAATTCTCTAGAAGGAATCAATAGCAGAATAACTGAGGCAGAAGAATGGATAAGGGACCAGGAAGATAAAATAGTGGAAATAACTGCCTCAGGGCAGAATAAACAAAAAAGAATGAAAGGAATTGAGGACAGTCTCAGAGACCTCTGGGACAACATTAAAAGCACCAACATTTGAGTTATAGGGGTCCCAGAAGAAGAAGAGAAAAAGAAAGCATCTGATAAAATACTTGAAGAGATTATAATTGAAAGCTTCCCTAACATGGGAAAGGAAATAGTCAATCAAGTCCAGGAAGCACAGAGAGTCCCATATAGGATAAATCCAAGGAGAAACATGCCAAGACACTATTCAATCAAGGTGTCAAAAATTAAATACAAAGAAAAAATATTAAAAGCAGCAAGGGAAAAGCAACAAATGACATACAACAGAATTCCCATAAGGGTAACAGCTGATCTTTCAGCATAAACTCTGTACACCAGAAGGGAGTGGCAGAACATATTTAAAGTGATGAAAGGGAAAAACCTACAACCAAGATTACTCTACCCAGCAAGGATCTCATTCAGATTCAATGGAGAAATTAAAACCTTTACAGACAAGCAAAAGTTAAGAGAATTCAGCATCATCAAACCAGCTTTAAAACAAATGCTAAAGGAATTTCTCTAGGCAGGAAACACAAGAGAAGGAAAAGACCTACAAAACAAATCCAAAACAAGAAAGTGGTAATAGGAACATACATATCGATAATTACCTTAAATGTAAATGGATTAAAAGCTCCAACCAAAAGACACAGACTGGCTGAATGGATACAAAAACAAGACCCGTATATATGTTGTCTACAAGAGACCCACTTCGGACGTAGGGACACATACAGACTGAAAGTGAGGGGATGGAAAAAGATACTCCATGCAAATGGAAGTCAGAAGAAAGCTGGAGTAGCAATACTCATACCAGACAAAATAGACTTTAAATTAAAGGCTATTACAAGAGACAAAGAAGGACACTACATAATGATCAAGGGATCAGTCCAAGAAGAAGATATAACAATTGTAAATATTTATGCACCCAACATTGGAGCATCTCAAGGCAAATGCTAACAACCATAAAATGGGAAATCAACAGTAACACAAAAATAGTAGGGGACTTTAACACCCCACTTTCACCAATCACCCAAAATGAAAATAAATAAGGAAACACAAGCTTTAAATGACACATGAGACCAGATGGACTTAATTGATACTTAGGACATTCCTTCCAAAAACAATAGAATACAACTTCTTCTCAAGTGCTCCTGGAACATTCTCCAGGATAGATCATACCTTGGGTCACAAATTAAGCCTCAGTAAATTTAAGAAAATTGAAATAGTCTCAAGTAACTTTTCTGACCACAATGCTATACTAGATACCAACTACAGGAAAAAAACTGTCAAAAATACAAACACGTGGAGGCTAAACAATATGCTACTAAATAACCAAGATATCACTGAAGAAATCAAAGAGGAAATAAAAAAATACCTAGAAACAAATAACAATGAAAACATGATGACCCAAAACCTATGGGATGCAGCAAAAGCAGTTCTAAGAGGGAAGTTTATAGCAATACAATCCTACCTCAGTAAACAAGGAGAGGGCTTCCCGGGTGGTGCAGTGATTGAGAGACCACCTGCCGATGTAGGGGACACGGGTTCATGCCCCGGTCCAGGAAGATCCCACATGCTACAGGGCGGCTGGGCCCGTGAGCCATGGCCACTGGGCCTGCGTGTCCGGAGCCTGTGCTCCGCAACGGGAGAGGCCACAACAGTGAAAGGCCCGCGCACCGCAAAAAAAAAAAAAGAAACAAGGAGAGTCTCAAATAAACAACCTAACCTTACACCTAAAGCAATTAGAGAAAGCAGAACAAAGAAGAACCCAAAGTCTTTTGTTCCTCAAACCAAAGAAGGAAAGAAATCATAAAGATCAGATCGGAAATTAATGAAAAAGACATGAAGGAAACAATAGTAAAGATCAATAAAACTAAAAGCTGGTTCTTTGAGAAGATAAACAAAATTGATAAACCATTAGCCAGACTCATCAAGAAAAAAAGGGAGAAGACTCAGATCAACAAAATTAGAAATGGAAAACGAGAAGTAACAACTGACACTGCAGAAATACAAAAGATCATGAGAGACTGCTACAAGCAACTACTGTATGTCACTTAAATGGACAACCTGGAAGAAATAGACACATTCTTAGAAATGCACAACCTTCTGAGAATGAACCA